GCACATGTGCCACATCATTGTAACTTCTGTATTGTTAGCCAGGCATGGTTGAAAGGTAAAAATAATAATAAATATATATATAATGTTATGAGATTTAAGCTATTAAGTCTAAATATTTATGTTTTGGTGACATAATCTGTAGTCATTCTAGAAAAAGGCATAATTTATATTTATTTCATAATTTTTTAAACATGGTTATGAGATCGGTTATTTTCTTGAGAAATGTTTGATAACTATCTGGACATTATAAAGGTTTTGCATGTGAAACTTGAAAATTTTTGAATGCATAAAAGTATTTTTAATCTTAAATTGAAAATTACTTTGCATGTTGGATATGCAACATGCAAAAAGAAAAAAAAATGCACAAGAAAAACATTGCTTTACAAACCTTAAGACTTAACAAAAAAAAATATTATATTTTACGTACTAATGCATTGTCATATCTACTAATAATCTGCAAAATTTCATTAAAAGTTATAGCATGAGAACAAGTACAAAATGGTTACAATGTCGGTCCCTGAGACCGAGCCCATGCTGAAAGAGTTAAGGCTCTTCACATTTTTGCAAGCACTGCAAGGAGCTCATGGTCATACCTAACTACAATTGTTAAAACAGGGAAATTCCATTTCAAAATTTAATACTTTAGTAACACCTAGAAACCTGGAACAGTAAATATACTGTTTTGATCAGTATTTGTGGCAGGTACAAAACAATGATAGAAAGAATGTTTCTTCAAACTTTTCTCCAACATTGACAATGCACATTTCCACTTGTAAATCAAATATATTCTAAATAATCACCATTTAAAGAGCTACATAATGATGTAATATAAGTCATGCCCACTATCTCTAGTATTTACTTAGCATTCTAAGCTCATGTTCAAGGGAAAGAAAATTAAATTTTCTTTCTTTAACTGCAACATGCTTATACATCTTACTAATAAAATAACTTCACATTTGAAAAACAATGTTTTCCTTTATTTTCTACAAATTAAAATACTAATTGACTCTAAACACAGTGCACAAATTAGAATCTTTCCCTACTATTCCCCTCGTAATTTTTGTCAACTGCCAGTAGCACTGAATCATCCTTTTCATAATTCAAAAATACTCAGCCATGCTAAACAAAATTGATTTATTTTAAATTTTTATACCTACTAACTAGAAGGGCTAGGGCATGTTTTACACTAAAAAAGTGTTCAATTATTCTAATTGAAATTAAAAAGTCTAAACCTAAACAGTGCCTTTACAACATGACCAGTTCTAAATTATACTACAAGCTGTACAGGACTCATTCAGAAAATGTCACAAACCATTTTTGTTATGTAACATCTCTGACACCAATTGTAAAATTATTAGACCAAACCAATCTTAAAAACTAACAACAACAAATTTTTTTAATCTCAGAAAAAATACATCCCTATCCTTACAAAGTAGAAATCAGGAACAACTTTATCAAAGAGATTATTAACATACATAGTAATTATTTTGTAGAAATAATGCTGCCACCACACTTTGAGGTACTTTAGAAGTTAAATCTCTGCCCAACCATTCATCATGTTACTTTTTGTTGATTCCCAATAATGCTGATTTGTCCTCCCCTCAACATAATTTAAAATTATACTCAAACATTTGCAACAGAATGTTTTAACGTTTTTATATTAAGATGTTTTTAAAGTGGAAAAAGTGTTAAATTAACTTTAATTTGAAATTAAGAAAGTGATGGGTATTAAATGGGTTTCTTTGTTCAGAGGCTATTTATTAATAGTTTCATGTAGATACTTATGTGGTATGAATATCAGTTTGGCTAGCTAAGTTGGTTGAGGATGAAACTATTATACTTTTAAGTAATTTAAATTATGAAATGAGTTCATTCTTGTTCGTCTTTGGAAGAAAATCTTGATATAAGCCATTCACTAAAACACTGATTTCATAAGGTGAAATATAGTTTTTAATTTTCTTTGTAAACACAACTGGGTTATAATAATCTCAACTTTATGAACTTGAATTTCAAGTTGAAAGTTGAAACTTTCATATTTTGCCCCTCACCGAGTTTGAAAAAGGCTTCAGCGCTTCACCAAAAAAGATAGATAATCTGTATACTAGTAACATTGTAAGGCACTGTCACTGTTGTGTATTATTGACAGTATTTTGAAAACTACTTAAATTTTATGACCTTATATAGAAAATCAAGATATTCGAAAGAATATAAAGTCCATTTAACATAAGCCTAATTGTGCCATGCTTTCGAGATACGTGGCGTTGATACAACTGCATATCAACCCATGGTAACGTAGCTTAAATAAAATTATATCTAATACATCAACTTACCAATCTTAATTTCTGTGGGATCAAACTTAGGTGGCATTTTTCAAATCTAATATTAAACACTTTCAATATCTATATTGTGGTGTTGGTGTCGGATGAATCACGATTAGATACGACCGAAAAAGTTTCACCACAACACCATAAACAACTAGACAAGTAAAAAGACCTAACGTATTATCACGCGTAGAAACGATAATTTAGACATTTTGCACAGATGTCGCTCCGGTTCAATTACATACTTTAAAAATGTATTTAGAAAGAAACGTGTTTGGTACTTAGCATTGCTTAAAAGAAAATTTTCACTAACTTCCAGTCACTTGGCTCTCATTACATGCCACCTTTATATCATAATGTCTTAATATCAGATAAACCATAAATGTTGATTGGATCATTATATTTACATCAAACTAGAAATTACAGTTAGCAGTAAATTTTAATGGCAATAGATTGCAAACTAAGAAACCTAGAATTCACACACTGGCCGCGATAACTACATTCGCCAAGGACGACCCTACTGGAATAGCTATTGTCATAACTAAAACAACCTACCACATCTAGTTTAGATTATTGCTTTAACGGGATATATTTAGGGAAATTGTTTTCAATTATTTCATGTAGTTGTTCTGCAGGCGGTTATGAACTTCTCGGACTTTAAAATTTCCACTTGAATTTAGGTACTAGGACATTAAAACTCCAGGCAGGCATTTCTCACTGTCGAGATGTTAATGTTAATGAATTTCCATGGTCAGAAATTCGAGGCTATCGCCCATGTGGTTACTACCCTATTTTGGTTACTTGAGAAGGAACAAAAGGCTACAGTTTCGCCCCCACATTTCTTACCTGGTCAGACGTTTGGTTAAAAGTGTATGTTAATGTTGTAAATGACCAATTACCACAATCCCCTTTCCTAAGATTTTCCTTAGGAACATATTGTTGAAATATCGCCATGATCTACTGTAACTTGTCTGTAAAATATATATATATACCTTTCATCTGTGAATGCTTTAGTTCCTCAGATTTCATTGGGTCTAATATTTGACTTACATACACCTGTGCTCTCCACTGTTGCTATTGGCATGACAACAGCTCACGCTACCAAGGAACTCAACCACATTTCTTTTACTATTTTCTTCTTGCTATGCAAATAAAGCCTGAATTCAGTGAGAAACAACAACAGTTATAACCTTAAAGAAGACAGTGTTTTATGTATGGGTTTCCTGAACATGAGGCAATAGATATCCTAAACAGATAAAGATGTAAAGAAATAATCTCTACTGACAGAACTGGCTCAAGAGAAACCAATCCTGCACAATGTTGTATACAGAAAGAGTTCTTTGAAGCTGTTTGAGTAAGAATCAATAAACCTGTTGGATTAAGCCCAACTTGAATAGATCCTCAGAGCAGCTGATGAACACAGATGGTTTGTTTGTAGTTAAGCACAAAGCTACACAAATAGTTATCTGTGCTCTGCCCAACATGGGTATCGAAACCCGGTTTCTAGCGTTATAAGTCCTCAGATATACCACTGTGCCACGGGGGGGGGGGGGAGGCACATAGAGGGAGGTAGAGTTCTTTCTAGAAATGGACCAAGCATGACCCAATAGTTAGTGTGCTGGCACACTTTCATAGTAACTACTTGGGTAACACGTTTATTACAATCTTTAACCACTGAGATTAACTATGATTTGAAAAAATGATTTTTATAAGAATTAGCATTTCTTTGTTCATGTTTTAATGGCGATTTCTTCTTCTTCTTATATATGCTGACGTCAGCATATTTTAAAATATTTTTTCAACCTGGATGGCAATTTATGCAACAAATGGGCTAAACGGCCAGATCAGATGTTACGGTTCAGGCCCACCTATTCCAATTTTAGAATAGCGAACCAGTGGGAAAGAAATCAGTTAGCAATAGTCACTTCTTATGCGTAAAAACACACTACATGTTTTCTACCTTCCTGCATTAGTATAGAATTTTTTTGTACAAAGTTGTTGCTTGTGCTGTTTCCACACTACGTTGATCAAGAATGTTGGTAAATTCCTTTATGAAATGTAAGGTACGTCATTTGAATCCTGATTTAGTGTATCCTCATTGTTTAATTGCTTTTGTTTCTTGCCACTGGTAACTTTTTTACAGTTTCTAAAAGTTTATTTCCAGGTTTTTCGAACTAGACTGGAGGAGTTTTCTCTGTTTCAGCCCCAACTGAACTTCTTTAATTCCATTAGTATTCTACTTCACCCGTCACCTTATATCTGATAGCGAGGAATACTTCTCTGTGAAGAGTCACAAGGTCTCTAACCTTTGTATAGAAGAACTCAGAAAGGATTCCCTTGATGAACGTACCCATTAGAATATCTTCCCTGTTTTTGTCCTACATTTTTGAATAGGCTCTCCTATACTTTCCAGGGAGCACGTGTGTGAAACTAGGTTTTCCCTCTAAAATCTCCTGTGTTCTTTGAATCCTGCATAATATATTAATCAGTTCTTCTCTAAAAACCAGTCTGACTCATTAACCACTAACTTCAACAATTGCTCTTTTTTGTCCCTTAAAAACTGTCTTGGGAATCAAATCTTTCTTACTCGTATATTCTAACAATTTCTTTCTAGAAATTTCTTTAAGATTCTTTGCAAGGTTGTTACTAATCCTTTTTTCGACAACAATTCAGCCCTAAAATACTGAATGACATAATTGGTCAAATATAGAAAATATAGAATATTTTTGGAGTCTCTAGCCTTTTCCGTTTAGCCCAAGTATAAGATACTGTTCAGGTTGAAAATTTAAAATACCAACATAAATAACAAATATGAACTTAATTATTATAACCATATACTATTTTGGTGTCTAAATACTTTGATGTCTAACAGTTATAACTATCCACAAAATGCAAGCTCCATTAATGTTTCGCAGTGAATAATTCTGAGTATTTATAAAGAAAAAAACAAACACTAGTGTCAAAAAATAAATCTGCCTACACACGTACACACTCAATTGACTCAATTTTCCGTTATTGAGACTACAATCAGCAGCTGTGACAGAAAGCAAAATTCAACAACAACATGTGTACAAAATCAAGAATAATAAAGTAGTTACACTGTTACGCCAAACCAAGATCCTAGAGTGATATCCCACAAACCTTAGATTACCAAGTCAAAGATAATTCTCATTATACATATTCGAAACCTCAACTCATACTAACTTATACAAGTCTCTGTACGGTCCTTTCAAATGAGTATGACCTCAGTACAGAAGACCATGATACAGAAACAGGGCCATGAAAGTTTAAGTCCTAGATAACCTTTGTTTAAGGTAGAGGATTAGCGCAAGTACAAGACTTTCCCACATTTGGCTTAGAAATAGGTTATTAACCACCTGTAGAACACCTACACAAAATTTTAGAAAACTTTCATAAATACACCTAAATAAAGATATATTGTGTAACATAAAATGTAACGATATTTGTTATTGTCATACTTTATAAATAACATCTGCACCAAACGAGTTTGTGAAACACTCGTACTCTTGCTAATTGAACTGAATTATTTAACTAATCAGCTTTAAATTGTAACACGTTTATAGTAACTTACAATATTACACTCTTTTCGTCTAAAAAAGACAGCTTTTCTTTGATCCTAACACATTGAAAGGTTAAGGTATATTTA